CAGTACGGCCTTTGAAAAGAAAAATTGAACAATATTCTAAATTAATGTTTTATCACTAAATCTTTAAATTAACAGTAATTAATATGCTAAAAAACACCCAAACTTGATGAATAGAAGTATTTTGCTGAAATAATAAAACACCCCTCCCTGTTGAAGAAGAAGAAGAAGAAGCTAATTTCGTCAAAAATCAATACCGAGTAACAGTGCCAATTTTCAGCCATCTATCTCACTTCTATTTGAATTCCATGATTAGATTTAGTTTAAACCTTATAGTGTAAATAATTAACATTTATAAAGTTTCTTTTTGCTGATTTTGTTATTTTGTTTGGAAACACGTTTGAAAAAATAGTTTTGAATCCGTTAAATTTTTTATGTATGGAAAGTGTTTGACAAAATGATAATGTGAATTCTGCCACTTTTTCTATGAAAAAACGACGTTTTGTCACTTTTCTATGAAAAATTTTGTCGCTTTTTCTCAAAAAAAGTCACACGCCCTCCCCAATTTTGTGATCATTTAACCCCTCCTTCCCCAATTTTTGAATTACTTTTTTTGAATTTATGTCACTTTTTCGAAAAAGTAAAAAAGTGACAATTTTTATAAAAAAGTGACATTGTGTCACTTTTTTCATTTTAAACAGTATTTTTTACTTCCCAAAAACCTTTCACATGATTTTTCAAAACACCCCTAATTTTAAGGGTATTTTTGTGAGTATCCCAAAATGCAAAATAATAACAGCCCAAATCGCCAGGCGAGAGAATGATGAAGAATGAAGCCCTAGATGGAGAGTAAAATGAGTAGCAACATTTGTACTCCTATTTAATTATTTCATTGTAGAAATTATGAAAATTTTGTACAAAAATCAATTTCTTAGATTTCTTAATTTTTAATTCTGGGTTGATCGTTACTCGAGTTTATACTCAAATTGTGGCATGATAGAATCCTCTTGCAAGGACTGAAGCACTACAAAGGATGATTCAAAAGCAACAGAAGATGTGCTAAGCTCTTATTTCATAAATTTATGTTGGTGCTGACCTTGCTGCGCTGTGCACTGAAGCTGCACTCCAGTGCATCAGAGAGAAAATGGATGTCATTGATTTGGAAGATGACTCTATTGATGCTGAGATACTGAACTCCATGGTTGTTACCAATGACACTACAACCGTTGGCCTACGGCAACGTTTGGACGTGTGTTGCAAATTGAGGTGTTGTTGTAGAATAGATAGATATGGTAACGTTTGGTAAATGTTGCGAAATACAAACGTTGCCGTATTTATCTAGGGCAACGTTTGGCAAACGTTGCGAAAGACTGCAACGTTTGTCAAACGTTGTGAAAAGAAAGACCTTTGCAACGTTTATCAAATATTGTGACAGAAAAGACTTTTGCAACGTTTGTCAAACGTTGCGGAAAAATAAAACTTTCCGCAACACTCAATAAACGTTGCAAAAAGGGGTTTATCACAACATTTTTCTATAAAATGTTGCCAAAACTCATTTATTAGTACCAATGACAACATTCACTTACTAAAATGTTGTCAAAAGACCCTTTTAACAACATTTATCAACAAATGTTGCCTTTTAATTGTTGTAAAAGAGTATTTTTGTTGTAGTGTGAGCACTTCGAGACTGCTCTTGGAATAAGCAACCCATCTGCTTTGCTAGAGACTGAAAGTGAATTTTGATTGCTATATATCTTGCTTGATACACTGTTATGCTATACTTGCCTCTTTATGTTTGGTGATGTTTATTATATTAACAAGCAGGTTGTTGAGGTGCCTAATGTCAACTGGGATGACATTGGAAGCCTTGAAAATGTGAAGCGGGAACTTCAGGAGCAGGGGCGGACCCAGACGAAATGTCTTGTGGGGTCAAAAATGACCATTCAAAAAATGACTATTCAAAAATTTTCAAAAACCTTGATCTGGAACTTCTAGGTACTAGGCGTTCGAAACTTGTCAAATA